TGTGATTCATGGGTTATTTAGGAGTGGGTTGTGTATTTTTCAGATATTTGAGAATTGTATAGATATTTTCATTGATTTCTGATTTAATTCCATTGTTACAAAACATATTATGTACGATTTAACGTTTTAAAATTTACTTAGATGTATTTTATGGCTCAGTATTTAGTCTGTCTTGATGAATGTCCCACGTGCATTTGCATGGAATGTGTATTCTCTAGTTGTCAGGCATAGCGTGCTAGAAATGTCAGTTAGGCCAATGGTTGGATGTATCGTTCAGATCTTCAATTACAGAGGTCAGCGAACTTCCTGTAATGACCCGGACAGTAAATATTTTAGGCTTGCGGTCCATGCAATCTCTGCAACCACTCAGTTCTATCATTGTAGCACAAAAGCAGCCACAGCCAGTGTGTGAATGAACCATCATGACCACACTCCGGGGAACTTCATTTACAGATCAGACTGTGTGGGCTTGTAGTGTGCTGACCCACACAGATTTGTCTTACATATTTGTTTCAGCTGTTTGTTTACTTAGTCATGGGAGGAGGAGTTTTACAGTCTCCCAACTGTTTATTTTCTTCTCTTTAATTTTTTTTACTGTTTGCTTCATGCATTTTGAGGCTCTGTCCTAATACATGTTTATGATGGTTATGTTTTCCTAATGAATTGACTCTTTTATCATCATGGAGTGTTCCTTTTATCTCTGGTAATATTCTTTGTCTTGAAATCTACTTTGTCTGATATTAATGCAGCTGCTCCAGCATTTTATAATTACTGTTTGCATGACACATCTTTTTGCTTTCAGCCTGTATGGGACTTGTGTTATAGCCTAGTCTAATAATCTCAGTGTTTTAATTGGAATTAGTTCATATATATTTAATATAATTATTGATGCGGTTGGATTCAGCTCTGCCATTTAAAATTTTTTTTAATGACATTTTGTGTTTTTCCTCCCTCTGTTTTTTCTTTCCTGCTTTTTTCTTTTTTCTTTTTTTAGAGAGATTAGTTGGAAATTTTTTAGGATTCTGTTTTAATTTTTCTGTTGACTCTTTTTTTTTTTTTTTTTGAGATGGAGTCTCGCTTTGTCACCCAGGCTGGAGGGCAGTGGGGAGATCTCAGCTCACCACAACCTCCATTCTCCTGCCTCAGCCTCCTGAGTAGCTGGGACTACAGGCACGTGCCACCATGCCCAGCTGGCTAATTTTTGTATTTTTGGTAGGGACGGGATTTTACCGTGTTGGCCAGGCTGGTCTCAAACTCCTGACCTCAGGTAATCCGCCCGCCTCGGCCTTCCTAAGTGCTGAGATTACAGGTGTGAGCGCCACCGTGCCTGGGCCTCTGTTAACTCTTTAACTGTATCTATTTGCATATTTTTTTTACTAGTGCTACAGAGGTTGCAATATATATCCTTAGCTTTTCATAATCTCCTTAGAGTTAATACTGAGCCACTTCACATAAACTGTAAGAAACTCATAGGCAGGTGGTTCTGCTTACGCCAGAGCTTTGCACTCTATCTGCCATATTTATAAAATCTACGAATGTTGTAAACCACTGATATAATGTTAGAATTTTTGCTTTATTTTTAATTTAAAAAATTCTTTTTGAAGAGACAGGGTCCTCACTGTGTTGCCCAGGCTAGTCTCGAACTCCTGGGCTCAAGTGATCCTTCTGTTTCAGCCTCCTAAAGTGCTGGGATTACAGGTGTGAACTACCATGGCTGGCCAGAAATTTTGCTTTAAATAGCCCTGCATATTTTATTTTAATTGGTACAAGCAAAAAAGATAGTTTTATTATTTATTTATGTAGTGCCCATTTTTAGTGGTCTTTGTTTCTTCCTGAAGATCCTGATTTCTATCCGGTATTATTTCTTTCATCCTGTAGAATTTTACTTAGCATAGGTTTGGTGACAACAAATTGATTTTCATTTGTCTTAAATTTGTTTTTATTTCACCTTTATTCTTAAATACATTTTTGCTGGATGGGGAATTCTAGGTTGACTTTTTTTCTTTTCGGTGCTTTAAAAAGGCATTGTTCCGTCATCGTCCACCTCTGTTGTTTCCAAGTCATTCTCTGCACTGTTCTCTTGTATGGAACGTGTGCTTTTTCTCTAGAGGCTTTCACGGTTTCCTCTTAATTTTTGGTTTTTAATAGTTTAACTGTCACGCGCCTAGATGTATTTGTATTTATCGTGCTTAAGATCCTTTGAACTTGAACTTGTAAACGTGTATCTTTTAGTACACTGGGTGACTGGCTCCTCTTTTCCTGCAGGTTCCTGAGGCTTTTTGTTTTCTAGATTTCTTGTTCTTCTCTGTAATTAGGATTAGATGATTGCTATTTCCCTAGTTTTGTATTCACTAATGATTTCTTCTATTATGTGCAGCCTGCTCGTAAACCCACCCAGCGAGTTTTGTAATTTTAGCTATTGATGTTTTTCTAGGTCCAGAATATCCCTTTGTTTCTGTCTTATTCTGCCTTTCTCTTCTGAGGGTTCACTGATGATGAGTATAGTCCCCTTTTCATCTTTGAAGATATTTCTAATAACTGCCTAAAACCCTTGTCTCTATTTCTGACGTTTGAGTCACCTTGGGATCCATCCGTTTTGTAGCATGGGCGCACAGGCCCAGGTCGGGTGCGGCAGCTGACCTGAAGTCACAGCCTGCCGTGGTGGAACAGGGACTCTAGCCCTGTGTCTGACTGACTCCAGAGCCCTCGGGTTTTCGTTTGCATTGTGCTGTCTTTCTGCACTTTCTGTCCTGTACTGCCCAGGGAAACTTACCATTTGGGGGAGGTAATGTGGATAAGTACATGGATTTTGTAGCCCATGTATGATTGCTGTAATACAATGTGGAGAAGATGAATCTGTGATTTAGTCCAGGAGCTCTTTTCTGTAGTTCTGAATTCTCGGATGTCTCGCTGTTAGAAGTAGCTGTTTGCTTAGAGCATGAGTGTATGTGGTGGCAGGAGCAGACATGGTAGGCTGCTGGTGCTGAGAAGCAGCAGTGCAGGCTGCATTGTGGGCATGGCTCTAGCAGCCTCAGCCTCGCAGGCGCAGGGACGGCATGAAGGAACCCTGTTCGGTTTCCATGTGGACCCTCAGTCACCCGGGCTCCCACCAGCAGGGGCAGCTCTGGCTCACTAATTTAGGGCTGTCCTCACTCTGTGTGATTTCAGGACACAACCTCTCAAACAATATCTTCTCGCCCATTAGCTTTGACCAAATATTTCCTTAGGATGGGAAAACATGTTTTCCTTTACAGTTCATTTTCAGAGGCTTAAGATGCAAGTGACAGGATGAAGCATGTGTGCTGGCATGATACCATAGAAAGAGTAATGGTTAATCATAGCCAAGAAATAGCTAGCACTTCCCATGTGCCAGGCACTGTTCCAGAAGCTCCAAGGATGTGATCACAGCTTAATCTTCATAGCAAGCCACTGAAGTGAAGGACGGTCATCCTTTTATAGTTGAGAAAACTAAGACATAGACTTTTCAGTGACTTAGCCAAGGTCACACAGTTAAAGGGTGACAGTAGGGACTCAGGTCAGGCTGTCTGACCCCAGAGCCCACATCTCAGCTGCCTTTGTGACTGATAGAGGGGGTCCTGCTTCTGATTCCCTAACAGCCTAACTTTGGGAACATTTAATCTCCCTGGTGATTTGCTGTGCCTCTGTTTCCCGCTCTGCCCTCTGTAGACACTGGTCGCAGTTCGTGCCCAGTCCCCCCACCTCCGCCTTTTTCCTGCGACCTCAGAGCCGTTCTCGACTGAGTGCCCAGCTAATCAGTCACAAGTAGAGGGACCTGACCTGCCACCCAAGTAGTGATGACCTTTGTGCCTCTGATCCATTGTCCAAAACCCATTTGCACTGGAATGGGATGAGTTAGCAGATAGACATAACTAAGAACAGACTCTGAGGAAAGGATCAGGAAAACAGTATATGGCATGTGAGGAGAAAGAAGAAAATGTACAAGGGAATCTCAGGAGGTGAAAACCCACAGCTTCTTCTTGCCGTCTCTTGCCTTCACTGAGCCTGCCTGTCTCTGCAGCTGACCATATAAACATCTCAGGGAGGTGATGCTTGCTTCTGGACCCCAGAAAGCTGTGTGCCAGCTTCCTTGGGATGGGTGAAGATGGATCTTGCCAGCCGGGTGGGGCAGGGTCCTCAGGTCCTGTTGAGGTGTACTGATGTACTGACCAGTGTGTTGGACATTCTTGCCCTGCTAACAGGGCCTCACTCTCTCGATTGCCTTCTACAAGAGCAGAAATTTTAGAGCTATGGGATGTACGTGCCAAGAAACAAGAAAAACATCTTACCAAAAAGATATGGCAGCTTTAATTTTAATTTTAAAGACTAAATTTTAGAATTATTTTAGTAAAACTGTAAAACAGAAGGAGGACAAAGGGAATAGGCTAATGCGGGGGTCCCCAGCCCAGCCCCCAGGCTGTGAATTGGTACTGGTCTGTGGCCTGTTAGGGACCAGGCTGCACAGCAGGAGGTGAGCGGCGAGCAAGCAAAGCTTCAACTGTGTTTGTAGTCGCTGCCTATCACTCACATTACTGTCTGAGCTCTGCCACCTGTCAGATCAGCGGCCACGTTAGATTCTCGTAGGAGGGCGAACTGTATCGTGAACTGCTTATGCGAGGGATCTAGGTTGCGTGCTCCTTATGAGAATCTAACTGATGCCTGATGATCTGAGGTGGAACAGTTTCATCCCAAAACCATCCCCAACTCCCCTTCCTGGCCGTGGAAAAATGGTTCCACAAAACCAGTTCCTGGTGCCAGAAAGGTTGGAGACCACTGGGCTAATGAATTGAGATTGCGAGATTCTATGTACGGTGTTGCTGCTGTTTTTTGTTTGTTTGTTTGTTTGTTTGTCTGTTTTTCACCCCCAGTACTATTTCAGTTTTCCTAATGTCATGCCATGTCCTAACCAGAAAGGGAAAGTATTTTGCCAGCTCGTCATTGAAACTGTCTTTTTAACACTGCTTTGTTTTTAATTTGCCAAGGTCTTTAAGGAGGAGAAGTACTTGAAAGAGGCCATGGAGTGTAGCGATGTGATTTGGCAGCGAGGTTTGCTGCGGAAGGGCTACGGGATCTGCCATGGGACTGCTGGCAACGGCTACTCCTTCCTGTCCCTTTACCGTCTCACGCAGGATAAGAAGTACCTCTACCGAGCTTGCAAGGTGAGGGTGGCTTTGTTGGAACTGCTTCCGAGTGTGCACAGAGTCCAGAAGTACAACTCTTGTTCCTTCTTTTAATCTGTTTCTCCCAACTCTGTAGCTTCCTTTTTTTCTTCTGACACAGCTTTGTCTGCGGCTTCTCTGGGCCACAGTGTCCCTGTCTATAGAATGGGGAGCACAAATGTCAATGGCTTCTGAAGAATATGTGTCCTGGAGTCACTGCCTGATGAGAATTACCACCTGTGCCATTTAGTGGCTTTATGAGTTTGAATGTGTCTCTTCTTCAAGCCTCAGTTTCCTCATTTGTACAGATAGAAAAAAAATACTACCCACCTCCTAAGGATGTTGCAAGCAGAACTGAGCTAATGTGCAGATCGTCTGTAATCATCCTGCCAGACCCTCCAGCGGCTTCCCATCGACTGTAGGTGGAGCCTGCACTCCTCCGCCAGGTTGACAGAGCCCTGCGCACCTTGGCTCCCTCTGTGTCTCTGCCTAGTCTCCTCACCGTACCCTGCCCTCTAGCCTGCTGTAATACAGCCATGCCACCCTAAGAACGGAGTGTGTCACTCTTGTTTCCGCTGGACCTGTCGTTAACTCTTCCCTTCAGGAGCACTCTTCCTTCAGCATGTGGATGGTGGCTCCTTGCCATGCTGATCTGAACTGTGACATTCTAAGAAGGACCTTTGAGACCCCCAAGTGGATGATCACTCAGTTGCTCATTGTATGTTTTTGCGTGTTTCTTGAGTATGTAGGCTGGTAGAACATAAGCTTCTTGATCTTGTTTGTCTGGGTCACTATTCTACACTAGTACTTGGAGCAGTGTATATCTCCTAGTAGAAACTCAGTAAACATGCACTGAAGATGAATGGCACAGAGCAAGACTCAGTAAATGTTTGCTAGTATTCTTATTATGTACACATTTCACAGAATGTAGTTGTGTGCACACAGAAAAAAGATTGGAAGAAAATACACTAAAGTGTGTACAGTGACCCTTGTTAGGTGGAGGCATTGCGGCTGATGTGTTCTTTATACTTTTTGAATATCTGTTACTTTATGAAGCCTTTTCTCAACCCAAATGGAATGGGCCCCACCTTGTTGGTGCGCCGGAAAATGCACGCACATCTGTGGCTCCCCCACTGATGGAAGCATGCGGGAGGCTGTGGAAGCAAAGAGGGCAGGGCCCAATTTGGCATGGCAAGTCAGCAGAAGAAACTGCTGTTCCGAAGTCCCGGAGGTGTGAGCGCCCAGACACTATGGCTGGAGCACGGGGGATGGGGCAGAACAGGAGCCAGCAAGCTGGGAGCAGCCAGATTCCGCAGGCCTGGGCCAGCCTTGATGATGTGATGATGGTAGATGATTATGCAAATATGGACAATGCAGGAGGGTTGAGATGCCGCCGGTTTTTTAAAGATGAGGGGTTTTTCAGGTGGGCCAGGCAGGGGTGGCCTGCAGAGGTGGAATGCAGTTCTGATAAGGAGAATAGCCTGGGCAGAGCTGCAGAGCAGGAACCAGCTCAGTGTGTTCCTGACTCCATAAGCACTTCAGTCTTTGGGGTGCAAAGGGAAGGAAATGTGTGAGGAAAGGTGTGAGGAAGGAAAGGTGAAGTCAGACAGGTGGGTGGAGGCCGGAGAAAGTTAGTCCTTCCCTGTAGCCAGTAGTTCTCAACCTTGTACCACTGGGAAGCTTTCAAATAATGACTGGACCTCACTGTAGACCAGTTAAATGAGGAACCCCCAGCACTAATATTTTTCAAGCTCCCCCAGTAATTTTAGTAATCAGCTAGCATTGGATACCGATTTGGAAGATGGGGGCTCATGGAAGGGTTTGGAATCCATGTTCAGACTCCTCTTTTAGAAAGATCGCTGTGGTCCCAGTAGGAAGAATGAGGCGAACTTGGGTTTCCCTAAATAGCGGTTTAGTAATTAATGCAAGAAATGTTGAGTTATAAACCAAAGCATAGGTTGGGATAAAAAATGAGACATTTAGAAACACGTATGATGTAAAGCCCACAGAATTTAATGCATGTTTTTAAATGTGGAGAAGATGGAAATATCTGAATGTCTTTCTGTTGTCTGACTCGGAAAACTGGGTAGATGGGCCATCAGACAAGCTAAGAGTGAGCAGATTGGGAGGGTAAAAGCAGAGTGAGTTTCTTTTTACGTGTGCTGAACTTGATACTCCTCGTGTTTATTACTTATGATTCTTAGTGTACAAATGACTCTTCAAATTATGTTAGCTTAGGCACAAAAGGGAAGTTTATTAGAACGATATGGAAATACCCATTGAAGAGGTCTAAGAAAAAAGGGTCAAGGAGCTCAGAGGAGAGCACAGGAAGGGCTGAGAGCCAGGGGCTGTGAAGGTGGAGAGGCTGCCAAGCAGCAGCTGTGGAGGGGCTGCGGTGAGAGGCGGCGCCCCGGGCAGGGCTGAAGCTGTTTCCCAGCTGGGGCCGGGGGAGCTGGCAGCTGCTGCTGAGGGCCGTTTTAGAGCCAGGGTTTTTTGTTCAGGATAGAGCAGGCGTTTCGAGTTGCTTCTAGAATCGTCAGCTGAAGCGGCAGGAGGAAGGTGCCAGGGAGAACAGAGTGTCGTTGAGCTGTTCAGTTTTCACCTCAGACTTCCCAGCAGCCGTAAGGCAGACCCCACTCTACAGCTGAGGCAGCTACAAGCAGCGGTGACAAGACTTGCTAGGCCTTGCCCCTGGAAGAGGGGGCGCAGGAGCCCGTGGAGCCCACACTGAATGCCCTACAGCTGGGGGTCCACTTCCCTAATTCCTGTGAAGACATTGCATTCTCATTTATTACCTTTTCACCAAGTAGAAACTCCAGTCTTAAAAAGAAATCCCTTTCTTTCCAGTTTGCAGAGTGGTGTCTAGATTACGGAGCACACGGGTGCCGCATTCCTGACAGACCCTATTCACTCTTTGAAGGTAAGAGTGAGAAAAATGCTATGGTTTAAATGTTTGGGTGAAATTGGTTCTCCTGCCCCTGTGGACTGGCACTGTTCACATTTGACCTGGCTCAAGTAATACTTCCAAACTGTAAAATAAGTCAGCAAATTAGCTTATTGCTGAAAATTATGTTGAATCTCCTCACCTTACCTATTTTTTTTTGCTCCTGTGAATGTCTTCCAAGTGCTGTTAGGTTTTTTGTGAGGTGTCTCTGCAGACAGAACGTAGGCGGCTTGCTGTTAGCAATGGAAGAAATAGTTTACTCCTCTGTGTTTCATCTGTAATGTTGCGTACTTAATATTGGTGTATTCATGGGAAGCTTTACTAATTAATGTATATTTAATATTATATGAAGAAGTATGAATAATTAATATTGGCAATTAGAAATATTGGTAATTAGAAAAATAGCAAAAGTGAATATTGAAGAACGTTCTGAAAAGAAGAGCACCGATAGGCAGTCAGTGAAAGCAGCAAGGATTCCAAGTCCACCGAGGGCACAGGGGAGGGAAGACTGGAGCACAAACAGAGAAGCCCCACAAACAGGCCCGGATATTCACTAGATTTATATGTGGGTGTGGGCGTGCTTTCTGTTTGCTAATATTTTGGTAAAGGTTTTTGCATCTCTATTCATGAAGGGTACTGGCCTCCAGTTTTCCTGTTTTGTGCTGTCTTTATCTGGTGTTGGTATCAGGGTCATACTGACCTAACAAACTGTGTTGAGAAGCATCTTCTTCTCTTCTGTTTTCTGGGACAGACTGTGTGTTAATTGGTGGAAGAATTGGTATTAATGTAACTTAAATGTTTAGTAGAATTCTCTGGTACAAACTTCTAGGTCTGGAGATTTATTTTTCTAGACTTTTAAAAGAAATTCAATTTTTAAAATAGTTATAGGGCTGTTCAAGTTATCTATTTCATATTGGGTGAGCTGTCATAGTTTGTAATTTTGGGGAAATCGGTTAATTGTGTACATGTGGTGAAATTCATAAGTGTACGCTATTGGTAGTATCCCCTTATCATCCTCTGTCTACATCATCTGTAGTGGTATGTCCTGTTTTAGTTTTTATACTGGTAATATTTTTAAATCACTTTTTAGAAATAGGAGCAGAAAATAGAGCATGTGTCACATCTTTTGCAGAAGATGATCTTTTTAATATTCAAAGAACTCATAAGGAAAAAGTATTTATTAGAATAAAAGTTTTAGTCCTCGATGTCATAAAAGTGCAATGCATTTGCATCAGGTATAACAGAGTTAATGCCGGCACTCTAAATGGAGTTTATCTAGTTGATAATAGCACCTCCAGAGCCCCAGTGGGTCGAAAGCTTTGGACCCTAAAGGCGGAAATTCATAGGTCACCTCCTTCCCCTGTGCCTCGCCAGTGCCTGGCAGACAGAACTGTGGGGGACTCTCACCAAATTCCCATCGGGATGGAGGGGTCATTAGTCCATGTGCCTAGCAACGCAGGCCATTGTGGCAAACTGGCTGGCTGGAAGAGCCACTGGGAGGGCTCCCTGGCACCTGGCACCTCTTCTGGAGGAGCTCACACCTGCTGGAGCGCGCCACCCAGTGGATCTGCTGCCCACACACCTGAGCAGGAAAGCCAGGCTCGTCCCCGCAGGGCCTGCTGTGGGGCCTCCTATGCTCATTATGGGTCCCTGTTTACTTCTCATGGGCACTCCTAGGTCAGTGGTTTTCTGATTTTTTAAATACGTTTCTGGAACCCTTTCTTTAAACAAACTTACAGACAAGGCTGGGAACACCCCAGATGACCTTCAGTAGGAAAAATGGGGAAACGGTCTGCAGTGTACTATTCAGCAGTATGACGGGGCCAGCTATGGACATGCACAGAACATGAATGAACTGCAGGAACCCTGACAAAGGAACCAGATGCAAGGGCTGTACACTGTGGCCATGCTCCTAAGAGTGCCAAAGCAGGCAGAAGTAATCCCTGGTGGACCAAGACCAGGCTGCCGGTTACCCCTGGGGGGACCACAGGGGCTGGAGGGACTGGAGAGGGGCACTTGGAACTTGTGGGGTGATGGAAATATTCCAGGTCTTAATCGCGTTTCTTTTGCACAGGTGTATATGCATTTGACAAACCCTCAGAGAAGTACACTTTGGATTTGTGTGTTTCATTGTACGTGAATTTTATATCAAAAGAAAAACTGTAAACAAAAACCCTATAAGGGAGGAATTGTTCTGATTTGAGTGGGGACAGGAGACCTGGAGGCCTTGGTGGGCTAACTAGCGCCTTCCCCATCCCATACCCTTCCTATGCTGCTGTGAGTCTAGTTGAAAACCCGCTGCTTAATTACTGCAGTGAATTGGGGTGGGGATTTTGACCAAATTGAGATTTGTTAAAAATAATATTCTTCAAATATCAAGAAGATGTAAAAGCAACTTTGAGCATATACAGGTTCTTGAGGGGAAGCTTCATGTGTAGGAGTATCGTAATTAGCAGCATCCATAAGTTCCATAGCGATTCTATGATGTCACCTTAAAGTTTCAAGATATAAGATTAAAGCCCAGTAACCAATTTTTAAAATATAAGACCGTGAGGAAAGCTGGTATTATTATATTACCTGCTGGGTGCTAAATATAAGGATATCTTTGTTTTTTAATGAAGTCATCTTTAGAGTCCTCAGCACCTTTCCCACATGCTTGCAGCCCCTGGTAAGGGAAATGATTAAAAGTCACTGTCTTAGACACTACCCTTGTGCCATTCGTAAGAGGCTCCTCATTTTACGTTGCAGGCATGGCTGGCGCTATTCACTTTCTCTCCGATGTCCTGGGACCAGAGACATCACGGTTTCCAGCATTTGAACTTGACTCTTCGAAGAGGGATTAAAAGGTGCAAAAAGACAACTAAAATACCTGTTTGGAACAAAAGCCACCAGATTGCTTAGTGCCTGACACAGAAACAACTGGGAATCCTGAAAGAGAAGCAGACACTGTCACAGGCCCCTCTATTAGAGCATGAGTGATCGAAGCCATCCATCAACATTAACGGCACCCTCATCAGTATAAAATATGACTTCTTCACATACAGATTCTCTGTAGTGTTTGCATGTTTCTTGGTGTTTGTTGTATCCAGGTGTAAGTTGTTTTAAATGGAAGGCCCCTCTATTCCTGGGGGCTCAGAGCTGACCACGCATGAATGTATGGCAGTGTCCACTTTTCTGTATAAAATGTATAAAGTGGGGTTTCTTCCATATTGACAAACGAGGGAACAGGTGATGTCTATCTGGTATATCAGAAAGATTATCTAGGGTCTATCCTAGTGATAATACATTGTCAGCCTTTCCTGTGGCACCTTCCAGATGAGTATGAGGGAACCACCACTCCAAGGACGGACAGGAGCAGCAGTTCCGCAGGGGCGTGCTGGGGTGGTTTGGGAGGGCACAGCTGAACGCTTCCTGTTTGGATTTTGCACTCACCTTCGTGTTTTAAAGAAGCCTCAGGGTGCATTGCGGCTCTGTCAGGGCCCCATTCCCAGCAGAGGCTTCCGGTGCTTTGTGTAGGGTCCAGGGCAGCCGGAGCTTTGAGGGTGAGACTTCTGGACCCAAAGGGAGCTTTCCCAAGAAGCCTTTGGTGGCCACACTGTAGGCAGCAGTGACTAAGCACTGGCAGTTCCAGAACATTTACCCAGGTGTATGTTACTAAAACAGGCTCCACCTCAGTTTATCAGCGTTATAAGTTACTGTTCTAAGAAGAGTAAATACAGTTCCAGATGGGTTATTACAGATGAACAGAAAGTCACTCAGCTGGACTCATGTCCCTGCAATTAAACTTATTTCAACCTTTTGGAAAGTTATCTAAGTCTAAATTTGGAATGAATGCATTTCATATTTTTTGTCTACTTTTGGGTGATAAGTACTAGCCCTCATTTATAGATATGAGAAACATAATGTTCTAACCAACATCATTATGGTATTTGTGTGACTTTTATTTAAAAAAATGTGAGCAGTAATTTGGGTTAGCCTACCTTCATTCATTCTGTCACATAGATTTCAGTTTTTAGAAGGGTTTCTGTCATCCTGGAACAGGTGGTCTGGGACTAAGGACTTCTCATCTTGTGAGCTAAGGCTTGTGTCATGAAAGACAAGTGGACTCTCTTAACAGCCCAGTCCTCGTCTGCAGGGGGCAGCCTGAGCATTTCCCAGCCCCAGTGTCCACACCTCTCAGAAAGGAGAAAAAAGAATGTCAGTTTAGGAGAAAAGCCTCCTTTTTACTTGTGTGATTATGTGTGGAGCTGGCACCCTAAATGTGTGACATTCAGCTTCTAAACGATGCCTGGAGAGTCTCTTTGCTGCAGACACCCTTGCTCCTGAGTCATGATTATTTTCTTTCATGTTAGATTGACGACTTCTGTGAATAGAACTCATCCTGATCCTATTTTACCTGACCTCCTGGACCCGCTGATGGGCTTTGCAGGCAGTCCAGCAGCCCAACCTGCAGGCAGGATGCTGTCATCCACGAGCTGAGGGCAGCTGCTTTGCAGAAGACCTCACACGATGTCCAATCACATCCAAATAACATTGTTCCCATCCTCCCCACCCACCTCATCAAAACATAACACATCACAGCACTCGGTAGAGGTCCTGCCTCCCCGTTTCCCAAGGAAAGCAAGTAGGCAACACAGCCAGCACGGTGCTCTCCAGGGTGGCCCCTCTCAGAGGAGGAGGCAGCTGGTGCAGCCAGGCGTCTGCAGAGCAGCCACAAAGGTGGCCTAGGATCCAGGTGTCTCCCTAGGTGAGTCCATCCACACACATGTTTGAAAAATACTATTAGTCTTTCTAATACACTGAGGGAAAGATTTTTAAAAATCTGTGGAATAAAGGAGGAGATTTTATTTACAGATTTTTTAAAAAGCCACCTGGGTTGACACCTTCCTACTTACCCACTAGATGTCAACAGAGGTGCTGTTCTGTGACTCTGCATTAACCCCTGCCTCATGTCTGTCACATGTGCTGCTGTGTGACAGTAATTCCAGCTCAGTCGCTGCAGGCAAAGGAGAAACGGGACTTACTTCACAGGACAGAGGATTGACAGAAGTCAGTTGAAGGGAAGTGTTTGAATCAGACTTTAGTACATCTCATTCATTTCTTGGATTTGTGTTCACAATTGTGTTCTCTAAAATGTGTCTAAATTTTAAAAATATGTACATGCATAATGTCATTTTAAAATATGAAGGAAGGAATTTGATGTCCACAAAAAGTGTTTGAGGTTCTTTGGTTTTGTTAGTAAAAGCCAGTTCTGTGGTGTTGACCTATGGAATCATCATTCATTTTCATTTCTCCGTGTTTGAGAGTGACATTGGTTAGGAGCAATGGCAACTGTTCCGAAGGTTGGATGCTTCACTTAAAAATATGACAGTTGTGGCTGGGCCTGATTGCTCATGTCTGTAATCTCAGCACTTTGGGAGGCCGAGGTGGGCAGATCACGAGGTCAAGAGATCGAGACCATCCTGGCCAACATGGTGAAACCCGTCTCTACTAAAAATATAAAAATTAGCTGGGCGTGGTGGCAGCCACTGTAGTCTCAGCTGCTGGAGAGGCTGAGGCAGGAGAATCACATGAACCCAGGAGGTGGAGGTTGGAGGTTGCACTGAGCTGAGATCACACCACTGCACTCCAGCCTGGAGACAGAATGAGACTCCATCTCAAAAAAACAAAAACAAAACAAAACAAACAAAAGGCAGTTGCTTGCGTTACGATGTTCTAGTTGCAGGTCTCTCTTTCTTTCTTTCTTTTTTTTTCGAGACTTGAGTTTCGCTCTTGTTGCCCAGGCTGGAGTGCAATGGTGTGATCTCGGCTCGCTGCAACCTCCACCTCCCAGGTTCAAGCTATTCTCCTGCCTCAGCTTCCCGAGTAGCTGGGATTACAGGCGCAAGCCACCATGCCTGGCTAATTTTGTATTTTTAGTAGAGATGGGGTTTCACTATATCGGCCAGGCTGGCCTCAAACTCCTGACCTCAGGAGATCCACCCGCCCCAGCCTCCCAAAGTGCTGGGATTACAGGTGTCAGCAACTGTGCCCGACCCTAGTTTCAGGTGTCTATACGTGCATTCTTTTTGATTCCAACAAGACCTTTGGAACCCTGAGTAAGAAGAGCCGCATCTATCGAGCTCCCTCCTTGTGATGGGCCCTTTGTTTTCACAGCAGCTCTGGGAAGGGGGACTGTTGTAAATACCACTTTCTCACAGTCGAGACAGTGCCGGACTTGCCCAGCGTCTCACAGCCCATGCGTGGGACAGTCGGGTCAGACCCAGGTGCTGCTCATGGTGCGCCACTCCCTCTTCCCTGGGTGCTTGATGCAGGAGGAAAGCCACGGAAACCCCGGAGGGCTCTGCCACATGCCCATGAGCACATGGCTAGTGAACAGAAAAGCAGGGCGGACCATGTAGGGCTGCTTCCTCTGGCCCTGTCATGTCTCCTCCCCCGCGGCCTTCTAGGTGGGGAGGGATCCTACAGCCATTTGTCGGAATTGAAACTGCTTTTTAACTTAGTATTACTAGGCAGTTTTCACATCTGTTACTTCATTTGCTAAATTTACAAAAACAATAGTCCAAGTATAAAGTCCAGGTTCCCTAAGCCATCTTTACAAACCATCTCCACTCCCACCCAGGCTCTGTGCTGCGGCTTCTATGGCCCTACCTTTCGTGAGCCTCATAGTTCGGTGAGAGGCTGGATGTGTGACGTGGATGGGACCGTTGGTGATCCTCAGGAGGCATAGGCCCACTACATTGCACGCAGAATTCTGTGTGCACATGATTACTGACCTGGAGAGACAGTTCCCAGTTTTCATTAGCGCTTCAAAGCAGTGTGTGACCTGAAAAAGTTGAAGTGTCAGGTTGGGAGGTAAAGAATGTGTGTGGGCCAGCCGGGCTTCAAAGCATGGAGCCGGGGGTGCTGTGGGAGGTGGACATGGCCGCAGGATTGGATCAGGAGGTGCCGTCGCATTTAGGAAGACCCCTCCTGTAGTGGAAGATGCTGCCAGCAGGTCCTGACTTTTCCACATCAGTGTCAAGTCCATTGTGACCAAGGCCCTGGTGTCTGTCAGCCTCTTCTCTGCTTCCCGGTACACGGCTGTGGGCATGGGAAGTGGTGGTCCACGCAGCACAGCATGCAGCCCTGAGTGAGCCGGCCGGTGGGCTTCTGGAAGGCTATTCCATCCATTGTCTCCTGTCAGAGGCGGGGCTCCTGTATGATCCTGTTTTACCCAGACTGCAGCTCCCTGCAGGCCAAGGCGCAGGGACTCAGATGCCTGGGGCTATCCTGAGATGAGTCAGCTTCACAAATCTCACTGTCCCCAGCTCCCTCTCGTCTGGAGGTGGGAGGCGCGATTTTCTTCCGCTCAGCAAATGCTTACGGAGCAGCAGCACTGTGCCAGGCATTGTGCTGAGTGCTGCGAGTGGAACGATGAAAAACCACCCTGGCTCCTGTCCTCAGTCAGCGTCACATCAGGCCTGAGGAACCTCTGCGGCACGGTAGGAGCCGCGAGCTGAGCTCAGACTCAGGGTGCCTCCCTCAGAAGAACCCCGGAGGGTTCCTCTGCAGTGAGGTGAGGACAGCTAGCTTCTGGGTGAAGGATGTTGTACGCCTCTTCCAGATAACAGCAGGAGGCGGACCAAAGGAAAGTGGGGGTCAGCTCGGCCTTGCAGTGTGACACCTGGTGGGCATGAAGGTGAAGGTGGTAGTCCCTGTTGTCAAGGAGTATATGGTCTACGAAGAAAGTAATAAATACATATTTACATTTTACAGCCAAGCCTGGTGTGTGTTAAGAGCAGAGACTCTGGAGCCTGGGAGCTTGTGTTCACGTCTGAGCTCACCTGCTCCCTGTGGGAACTTGGGCAAGTGATTTCTTGAGCCTCCGTTTCTTTGTAAAATCGGGACAATGGTAGTATCTATCTTACTTGGTTGGTGGGAGGATTTAAATAAAATGATAAATGGGAAAAGCCTCTAGCCCACGCAAGTGCTCTGACGGGGCAGGTGAAGGTGCTGGCGACTGGCTTTCATGTGAGGAAGTAGGCTCGCCTGCCTGCGTCGTGGAGGGAAACACAGATCTGTCCTGCTTCAAAGTCTCATGCCTCATCACAACCCCGTGTCAGTGCTCTGCCTGGCAGCCCCGGGCTTTCAGACAGTTGTGCATGCGTGCGCGCGTACATGTGTTTGCGTGTGCGTGTGCGCGTGCATGTGTTTGCGTGTGCGTGTGCGCGTGCATGTGTTTGCGTGTGCGTGTGCGCGTGCATGTGTTTGCGTGTGCGTGTGTGCATGCATAGGTGCACTGGTAACTGCCCCAGGGTCCTTCAAGAGGAAAAGATGCTGCAGGAGCAAAGATGTCCAAAGCCACAGTTTCAGGCTTATTCAAAAGCCAGGAATTCAGAGAGACCAGGGTCTCAGCTGCTCTGGTGTTTTCTTGGGCACCCCAGGGAGCTTTCCCTGGTTCTGTGGCCCTCTCCACCCTCCTCATTACTGTACAAGAGAAACTTGTGTCTTTCATAGGATCATCCAGCAGATGCGCTGCTGCTCACATGTTGATAAGGATCTTACCCCACTCTTAGGGTATTGCCCATAGGAGAAAAAAATGTGTCCCGAGCGGCATAATCTCACATTGACCTGTAAGTGTATAAGCATTCCTGAAGTTCCAAGAACTGACAAGGCCAGGCTTTCAGACCATTCCTAATGAAGGTGGCAAGGAAGTTACCAAACACTGTGCTTGGCTGCTGGAAACTAGGTGTGATCCCCAGGACAAGAGAGGGTGACCTACACACACCCTTTTGACAAGCCAGAGGCGGCCTGGCTCCTGAGGAGCCCTCACGGAGGCCACCTGGTAGCTGTAAGGAGGGCCACGAGCATCTGCAGTGCCTGCTCCCTCACGGCAGCTGAGGAACTTATCTTGAGTCCTTGTGTGCCAGAAAGACGTCTTTTACCTGCTCTGACACTGAAGTCATGGTCTGACTGCTTATAGGATTCTTGACGGGTTATCACTTTCCTACTGATATCTCAAGGCGTTGCTCTGCTGTCCTAAACCTCCCATTGCTGCCTGTGGGGATTTCATAGCCATTGGGATTCTTGTTTCTTTGTATTTGATCTTGCTTTGCAGGTTGTAGGATTTTCTTCATCTGATAATAGGCCTAGTCCTGGTTCTTCATGGGCCCTTCCAATCTGTAAATTCATGTCTTTCAATTCTAGGAAATTTTCTTGAGTTATTTCTTTAATGCCCCCACCCTCTGTCCTTGTCTCTTTTACTTGAACATCTGTTATTTGGATGTTAAACCTCTTAATATAATTCCTGATTTTCTTTCTTCTGTTTTACACCCTTTTGTCTTTTTACTTTACTTTCTGAGAGATTTCAACTTTATCTTCCAGTCCTTCTATCGAATGTTTCATTTCTTTTTTCTTTTCTGGAATTTATTTTTCATTTCAGTGTACCTTTTATATATTATCCTGTTTGTATTTTTTTTTCTTTCTTTTTTTTTTGGAGATGGGCTTTCTACCTTGTTGCCCAGGCTGGAATGCAGTGGAATGGCGTGATCTCAGCTCACTGTAGCCTCTGCCTCCCAGGTTCAAGTGATTCTTATGCCTCAGCCGCCCAAGTAGCTGGGATTACAGGTGCCCCCAACCTCACCTGGCTAATTTTTTGTATTTTTAGTAGAGACAGGGTTTCACCATGTTGGCCAGGCTGATCTTGAACTCAGGTGATCCGCCCACCTCGGCCTCCCAAAGTGCTGGGATTATAGGTGTGAACCACCGCACCTGGCCCTTATTTGTATTTCTTGGTTTTGGTGTCTTACCTCTCTGAGGATGTTAATTTATCCAACTAGTTAATGTATCCAACTGAGTAAGTGTTTACTCAGCACCAGACACTATGGGGGCACTTGGAATCCATCAGTGAAGAAAACAGGCGAAGGCCCTCACCTGAATGGGTCTGCAGTCTAGCAGTGGGAGACAGACGGTACACAGAAGTGTGCACATTTTCTTATATGTTATAAGGTAATAAACGATACGGAAGAAAGATAAAGTAAGCAGGATCAGAGAGACTGATGGTGGGAGGTACACAGAAGGCTCTTTCAAACAGAACGGTAACTGTGACCCTGAAGTCAACACTCAGAGAAAGTGAAGAGGCTGGCAGGTGAATAAGCGTGGACAGGGAGCCTCACACAGAGCAGGCCAGGCAGAGGCCCCAGGGAAGTACTTCTCACTCGCTGCAGAATCGCAGGCCTTGGAGAAGGCACAGAGGCCTTGAAGGCCATTCTTAGGAGTTGGGCTCTG